AAGCTTCATGAAGACAAGCACCATCAAGAGGTATGTATTCTATCTTGTTATATTGATATTTTGTATGCTAGATTAAGATAATACCTTGGATGTTCATATTTGCATGTATAATAGAGAAAACATAGATCCAAGGTATTTAGGGTTGCATGTACACTTAGGAGTGTTAGAACGCTCATAACCCAACAGATACAGCCCAAGAACGAAAGTATTACCTCCAAAAGATGCCTCAATAGCAACCGAACTCGAATCCAAGCAAAGCCCTTTGATCCAAGCCACTTCTCCTTCAAGATCTCTTCAAACAACACCTCTCCAAGCTCTAATTTGCTCCACAAATGAACTCTCCATGAATTTAGGGTTTCTGGAACTCAAGGGGGGGATAAGGGAGGCTATGGAGGGGTATAATGCTCTTTATATAGGGCTCAACTCCGAAAATTAGGGTTTTCTTCATACAGCACCTACTCGCCGAGTAGGCCACTTGACACGCGACCATAGCCGCGACCTGACTCGCCGAGTCTATCCATGGACTTGCCGAGTCACCCTCTAAAACTTACACTTTTAGCCCTTAAACTCTACTCTTGCGATTCCGGGATGTTACAAGTCCAGCCTCCAGAATCTAAAAAATCGAATTTTCCAGTTATACAATGCATCAATACAATTGAAACCAAGCTTGGCTCTGATACCACTGATGGTTTTTGGTCATAAGACATCCTATGTTCTCATACAAACCCTAATGCTTGGATCTAGGTTTCTCTATTGTACATGCTTTGAATCCATGACTATAAACCCTAATTCTAGCATGCAAGTAATCATATTAACATGTAATTAGGTTTAAGATCATACCTTGATTGTTATGTAGCAATAACAATCCCAAATCTACTTGTATTGACTTTGGAAGGCTTAGAGTCACAAGTGTCACTCCTCTAATGGTTCACAAACACCATAAGCAAGAGGATGAAGAGGAGAGAGGTTGGAGGCTGCCAAAAATGTGTGTAAACCCTTACAAGAAGCTTAGCCACGTTTTTGAGCCTTAAGGGGTCTTTATATAGTTGGGCTATTAGGGTTATCTAACAAGGAAACCCTAATTTGGATGCTTAAGCCCTAAGCAACCCATAGACTCCTTTTATCTAGCCCATGGACGATTTCCTTATGGGTTTCCCATTAGAATTCGTCCATCCCTTAATACAAGGCAATCCATGGCCCAAATTATAATTATCTTATAATTACAATTCCAGTCCCTTAAGTTTAATTAATCTCTTTTAGTCACAAAACTAATTACCAATTAATTATTGACTAATATTAATTAAACAATATGATTTCTCCTTTAATATATTATTCTCATAATACATTAATAAATCATATTTAATCCTTACTCTCCATAAATCATCCTATCAAGTTGCTTTGGTGAAGGCAACCCAAAAGGACCATGCACCATCGGGTCAAGTACATACCAAAATAGTTATGGACTTAGACAGTAATCCAACACAAAGGTCATCAAACCGCCTGTACAAGATAGAACTCAGAGAAGTCAGGTCAAGATGCCTAGTTGGTGAAAGCATAGACCCAACCTGGCTTTGGCATACCAGGCTAGGTCACGTAAACTTCACTTCTTTGAAATCCATGTCAGAAAAAGGAATAATTGAAGGAGTGCCAAAGATGGTCATACCATCCAAACCATGTGAAGGTTGCCTTGTTGGAAAACAGTCAGGAAAACCATACCCATCAAGTACAAACTTCAGGGCACAGAAGAGACTTGAATTAATTCACGGAGACTTGTGTGGACCAGTCACACCTCCTACACCAGCAGGAAACAAGTACTTTATGCTCCTAGTCAATGACTACAGCAGGGTAATGTGGGTATACCTGCTAAAAACAAAAGATGAAGCCCTTCAATCATTCAAGAATTTCAGAGCTAAGGTGGAGAATGAAACAGGTGAGAAGATCAAAGTTTTAAGAACAGATAGGGGCGGTGAATTTCTGTCAAATCAATTCACCACCTATTGTGATGAAACGGGACTCGATCGACAACTCACCTCACCATACTCCCCACAACAGAATGAGGTGGTGGAGAGGCGTAATCACACGGTAATTGAGATGGTGAGAAGTAATTTAACAATGATGAAGGTCCCACACACGCTATGGGGAGAAGCTGTGAGCCATGCCATTTATGTACTGAACAGGATAAGCACAAAAGCCTTGAATGATTCCACACCCTACGAGATGTGGACCGGTCACAAGCCTCATGTGGGTCACTTGAGGGTGTTCGGATGTCTCGCACACATGATGATTCCCAAGAATCAGCTGAAAAAGTTAGATAAGAGAAGCAGGCGTGTCGTACATTTAGGAATTGAAAAGGGAACAAAAGCTTACAGGCTGTTGGATCCGAATACTGGGTCGATTCATGTAAGTAGAAATGTCGTGTTTGAAGAAGGTCAGACATGGGTGTGGGACCAGACGACAACGATACAGGGAACGCCAGGAATAAGCTTTACCATTGAAGGTTTTGACTTTGACAATGAAAACTCCATCGGCGACCAAAATGACACTGAAGAGATTGGGTCCATTCCAAACACGCCTGATGCTCTAAATAATGCTTATTCCCCTGTTAATATGGACTGGACTGATAGTGAGTCACAACCTAGTTACCAACTGGACTCACAAACAGGCCGACATGGTAGTTCTTTAAGTCCAACTGACCCACCATCCACACCAATCGCGCCGATCTCACCAAATACGTCTAGTACCGCCTCAAGCTCCACTGGCGGTGGTGCCCCCAAGAGGTATCGGTTACTCTCCGATTTATATGAAGCCACAGAGCAACTAATGATAGCTCAAGATGTTAAAGAACCATCAAATTATCAAGAAGCAAAGAACAAGGCTGAATGGGTCGATGCAATGAAGGCATAATTGGCAGCGATCGAAAAAAATAATACTTGGAATCTGGTCAATTTACCAAAAGGAAGAAGAGCAATTGGCCTGAAGTGGGTATTCAAGGTAAAGCGAGATCCACAAGGTAATATCCTGAAGCACAAAGATAGAATTGTAGCTAAAGGATACGTACAAAAACAGGGTATCGACTATGAAGAGGTGTTCGCTCCGGTGGCGAGAATTGAAACAGTCCGAGTCATCTTGGCTCTCGCAGGCTCAAATGGTGGCGTGTACATCACCTGGACGTGAAGTCGGCATTCTTGAATGGGCACCTAACTGAAGAAGTCTATGTCTCGCAACCTGAAGGCTTCATGAAGAAAAATGAACATGGGAAGGTGTATAAGCTCTCTAAAGCCCTATATGGATTGAAACAAGCTCCCAGAGCTTGGAATTCGTGCTTAGACAAGTATCTAAAGAGCTTGGGTTTCAGAAGGTGTGCTCAAGAATATTCAGTATATACAAGAACAAAGAATGGAAGCAGTCTGATTATTGGAATATATGTAGATGATTTGCTTGTTACAACTAGCAATCCAGAAAACATAAAAGAGTTCAAGAAGGAGATGAAGGCTAGATTTGAAATGAGTGATCTTGGTCTACTGTCATACTACCTGGGAATTGAAGTAAACCAACAAGACAAACAATCACGTTAAAGCAGGAAGGTTATGCCAAGAACATTCTGATTAAAACTCATATGCTAGACTGCAATCCCACCAAAACTCCAATGGAGCATAAACTCTCTTTGACCAAGGATGGAGATGAGGAGCTGGTAAATCCAACTGAGTACAGAAGCATTGTTGGCTGCCTAAGGTATCTCACTCACACTAGACCTGATATAACCTTTGCTGTTGGCATAGTTAGTCGATTTATGGAGAAGCCCACCATAAAACACTCCAAGCTGTAAAAGGAATCCTTAGATATGTAAAAGGAACCTTAAGCCATGGTTTAGTCTATTCTGAAGAAGGAGAAAAGGTCAATATTTCAGGCTATACTGATAGTGATTTGGCCAAGGATATAAATGACAGAAGAAGCACAGGGGGAATGGCGTTTTATGTAAATGGAAACTTGGTCACATGGGCATCTCAAAAGCAAAGGGTAGTTGCACTTTTATCTTGTGAAGCTGAGTTTATTGTTGCCACTATGGCAGCTTGTCAGGGCATATGGTTAAGAAGACTTCTCACTGAAATCACAGACCAAAAGGTACCACCTGTAACATTGTTTGTGGACAATCAATCAGCTCTTGATCTAATGAAAAACCCAGTATTTCATGGTCGAAGCAAACATATCGACATCAGGTATCATTTCATCAGGGAGTGTGTTGAAAATGGAGAAATCACAGTGAAACATGTGAGTGGGAAAAGCCAGAAAGCAGACATTCTTACAAAGTCCTTAGCAAGGGTGAAGCATGAAGAAATGAGAGACTTAGTTGGTGTGATGAAGATTCAGAATTAAAGGGGAAAATGTTGAGACTAATTAAGAATTATTTTTTCCATGCACGTTTTTTATTTAGTTTAGAATAAGTCACAGTGACCAGTAAGTGGTCCCTAGTCTGTAGCAAGAAGTCAAGGTTGTTTCCTACTTTTCAGCAAATTTTTAGTTTAAAAGCATAGGCAAGTGTACGATGTTTGTATCCTCAAAAGGTCTCTTTTCTTATTCAGTGAATAAAGGAACACACATTGCCTACTATTATCTTATGTATTCTTCTTTTCTCTTTGTATTCATCAGCTCACTTTGCAGCCTTCTTTAAAGCTGTTTTCCCACTTTTACCCTTCCTGTAATTCACTGAATTTGTCCCCTGCACATCCCACCATCCTGTCCCCTGTGTACTGTCTTGTTAAAAGACCACTTTGTCCCTGCAAAATACCAACAAATTCCAAGACTACATTTATATCGGTTTACGAAGCTTCATAAAGAAAAAGTTCTCCAAACACTTGACCATCGTAATCTATGAATCTGATGGGTTTCACGAAAACAAAATCTATAACGCCATTCAATTCTATGTTGCTGCTAAAATGTCTACAGACATCCATTGACTGAAGGTCAGCAAAACTCGTAACGACAACAACATCGCGATTGCCATGGAAGTCAACGAGGAGTTCACCGATATTTACAAGGGTGTCAAACTCTACTGGTCTTCGGTTTCCAAGAAGACACCGACTAAACAATCTTGCAGTCACAATGACATGAAATCTTCTTCCCGAACAACTAAACATTCGTTGGAACTCACGTTTCATCAAGATTACAAAGATCTGGTGTTGAACGACTACTTGCCGTTTGTACTTAAGTCTGCAGAGATGAAGAAACAGGAACAAAAAACCTTGAAGTTATTCACGGTGTCGTTGTACTCAAGACCAACGAATTGGATGTCGGTGAATCTTGATCATCCGACGAACTTTACCACGTTGGCAATGGATTCCGGTATAAAGGAGAAAGTGATAAAGGATTTGAATAGATTTGTGGAGAGAAGAGAGTATTATCGGAAAGTAGGAAAGGCATGGAAAAGAGGTTACTTGTTGTATGGGCCACCGGGGACAGGAAAATCAAGCTTGATTGCGGCCATGGCTAATTACTTGAATTTTGACATCTATGACTTGGAGATGACTAATGTCAATTCAAATTCGGATCTACGGGCGTTGTTGTTGGCGACGGCTAACCGATCTATACTAGTGGTGGAAGACATTGATTGCTCGGTGGCGTTGCATGATCGGGGGGGCCAGAGAGGCTGTGAAAGACTCATCTCTCCTAAGGCTTTACCGAAAAGAAAATAAAGTTAACATCCAAAACCATTTAGCTTTTTTCCTTTAGATTTAGATTTACTTATTTGTGTATTATGTCAATTACTATGATCAGGTAACTTTATCGGGATTTCTCAATTTAATTGACGGGTTATGGTCAAGTTGTGGGGACGAACGGATCATCATCTTCACCACAAACCGTAAGAACAAACTTGACCCTGCTCTTCTTCGTCCTGGTCGTATGGATGTTCATATACACATGTCATATTTGACATCAAGTGGATTTCGTCAATTGGTTTTTAACTATCTTGGAATCACACAACATAGTCTTCTAGAACAAATAGACGATTCTATGTGTGAGATAAAAGTTACACCCGCTGAAATAGCAGAGCAACTACTCAAGGATGATGATCCAGATATCGTTTTGAGTGGTCTCATCGAGTTCTTTGATGTTAAGAGGAAGGAGAATGAAGAGGCGGAGGTTGAGGTTGACCCTGAGGCTAAGCCTAAGGCAAGGCGAAGGCAAAGGCAAAGAAGGTAAAAGAAAAAGAATTGGGTGTAAAAGAGGACGAAAACAACCTACAAAGTGCTTAAGATTAATTTTTCCTTGCAGTAAAAAAATTAGTAACATTGGTGTTTTATACTTATGAAAATAATGCGTGTGACCACTTTACATATTCCTACACTAAACATTTCTGGAATCTATAACAATAATGTGATATCATAAACATGATCCATGGTAAATGTGAGTAAATGAACTTAGTGGCATTTGTTGGGTTTGGGTTGATTTGACATCTCTTATGACCTCTACCTTTTTTTTATTGATTTCTAGCTGCTGAAGTTATTGTTACTTCTTCGTCTATTGTTAGAAATTTAGTTTTAGATTTTAGTTGTTCTTTTTACAGTTTGTTGAAGTCATGATCTTGATTCAAACACTTGTTACAAATAATCTAGATGTTGCTCCTTAGTTAGTTAGTTTCACCGAAGATCAAAATTATGTACAAAACTTCAAGTATTAATACGCAACATATGTTAAGATTATCCATGTTCGAAATTGAGAGCAAAAGAGTAATCTGTATAGCATCAACATATGTAAATTTTAAAGTCGCGTAAGATTTCATAAGTGAACCCTCGATCTGAAACATAAGAGGACATAAAAAGTTGAATAGAGAATATGCCAACTCTTCACAGTTCAAACATCGAAGATCAAAATTGAAGTAGCGAAAAAGATGTATACCGAATTAAAACGTAAAACAGTTGTCACAGAGAGAGAGAGGGGGGGGGGGGGGGGGGGTTGGTGAGTTACTTAGATATGCCAGATTAGACAGTGCAAAACACGTTACACTAACAATAGTTTTTTTTTTTTTTTTTTTTTTTTTTTTTTTTTTGAAGAACTAAATTTTAATGAAAAAGGTTAGCAAAAAACTAACAAAGAATTAGATAAGAATCAATAAAATAGGGTTTAATAACCAAAGACAATCTACTAAGAATTAACTTTATATTTCTATTTACAAACCAATCGTAGGACTGTTCAACCAATCTATGATTAATAAATTCCTTTTAGTATTTTGGCCATTAAAAATATACAATCACCACATCGTATAACTAAAATGGCATATGACACACTAATTTACTCATATATGTCATTAACCCTGTGTAAATGGTAATAAAGTCATTGTACGTAGTAACATAGGTTGACATTATTTTTTAAATTAAAAGTCATACCTAATTTCATTCCTAATAAAACCATCCTTGAATTTTCTTTTTATTACCAAAAATATTAGTCTCGACATTAGATACCTTTTACCACATGCCGACTTGGTATTTAGTTTTGTTGATGTGACGAATAAGGTGGAATATGAATTATATTTTCTTCTTCGATTAAGAAAAGGAATGTGTACTTGTGGTTCATTTTTATTCTTATTTCTATTGTTTTTGGTTTTACATTTGATGGCATAATCTTCAAGCAAAAGAACTACAGGTTCTCAAGTTAAGTCAACTCAAAAGCCCAAATTTGTCAAATGTGTTTGTGGTGTTGAGTGTAGGTATATGTGTTCGGGCCCGTCTACTAGTTTTCAATGTCCTCACAGGATGAGTAAATAATGACCCTATGTTCGAACTATTATAACATAATTTATAAAACAATAGTGCGGTACATTTTGTATAATTTATAATGTAAATTTTAAAATTCACTTAAAAACGAAAGGATTCCATAGAAACGATTGATCTCCCATTGAAACGGATATGATACACAAATAGGTACAATAGCTAACAAACTACTAAAAATCCAAGATCAATTAAGAGTAATTACATAAAAAAAAAAAAAAACTAACAAAATTATACAAATAATACGTCTAATACTGCACGCCAGCTGAAGCAGGTGGAGGATGGATGCTCAAACTGGTCTTGAAACGAATGAAGAGTTGATGTCATTGCCATTTGATAAAGATATATGCATCAGTGTAAACGAGCCGAGCCGAGCCCGAGCCTGAAAAAGCTCGAGTTCGGCTCGTTTAATTTGAGGAAGCTCGAGCTCGGCTCATGAACAATTTAGTGGGCTCGCGAGCCTAATCGAGCCTAAACAAGCCTCTATGTGTATGTGTGTATATATATATATACACACATACACATAGAGGCTTGTTTAGGCTCGATTTTGTGTGTGTGTGTGTGTATATATATATATATATATATATATATATATATATATATATAGACACACACACACACACACACACACATATATATATATATATATATATATATATATATATATATATATATATATATATATATATATATATAGGCTCGTTTAAGCTCGTTTAGGCTCGCGAGCCCATTAATTGAAGCTCGGCTCGAGCTCATTTAATAAACGAGCCTCATATTTAGGCTCGAGCTCGGCTCGGGCTTGTTTAATTCGATCTCGAGTCGAGCTTTTAACGAGTCGATCCTGAGTAGCTCACGAGTAGCTCGGCTCACTTACACCCCTATATGCATGCATATTGATGATCAGTAGGTACATGAATGACACAGATTCTTCCAATTTGAACCAATTCTCAAACAAAATGAATGTCAATCTTGACATGTTTTGTTCGTTGATGTTGGATAGGGTTGTTAGAAAGGTAAACAATGGAGATGTTGTCACAATAAACGGTCATTGCTTTTGTTACTGGCACGTGAAGTTCAAGTAACAGGTTTCAGAGTTAGCTTCTTTTGGCAGTGGCGTTTGCAATGCCTCTGTATTCTGCTTATGCCCTAGATCGGGATATACTTAGCTGTCGTTTAGATGACCAGGAGATGAAGTTGTCCCCGAGAAACACACAATATCTAGATGTTGAACAACGAGAGTCGGAGAACCCCCCCTCCCCCCAGGCAATCGACGTCCGAGTATGAAGTGATGCGAAGGTTTTAGGATGCGTGAATGTGAAACCCTTGGTCTGCGGTTCCTTTAAGATAGTGAAGTATGCATTTGAGGAAGTTAAAATGAGGTTTCCGGGGAGGGTGCATAAAAAGACAAACTTATTGAACGACATAGGCAATATCTGGCCTCGTAAAGGTAAGGTATTGTAGAGCACCTACCAGGCTTCGGTAAAGAGTACCATCAGTGAACGGTTGACCATAGTTAGCACTAAGTTTCGAAGAAGTGTCCACTGGCGTGGCGACAGGGTTGCATTATGTCATTTTTTTCCCTGTCAAGAATGTCTTTAACATACTGAGATTGCAAAAGAAAAGGACTGTGATTAGTATGTGTAACGTGAATGCCAAGAAAATGATGAAGCGTTCCCAAATCAATCATGGCAAATTCATGAGAAAGGGTGTCGATGACCTTGCACTGGTAAGAATCAGAAGATGTCCTAAGTATAATATCATCGACATATATGAGTAAGTATGTTATGTCTTTCCCTTTCTGATAAACAAATAAAGAAGTATATATGGAAACACTTAAAAAACCATAAGATGTGATGTATGTGGCAAAGCGGTGGTACCAACCCCATGGGGCTTGTTTGAGCCCATATAAAGACTTTCTTAACCTGCAAACAAAGTTAGGGTAGGTGTGATCTACAAAGGCCGAAGGTTGGTGCTGTAAAAGGTTTTAGTAAGATTGTCGTGTAGAAAATCATTCTTGACATCGAGTTGATGTATCGGCCATGAGTGAGATATCGTAAGAGAAAGGACTATGTGATTTGTACTAGATTTAACGGCAAGGCTAAAAGTATCGTCACAGTCTACTCCAACCTGTTAAGATTTTCCATTTACCACAGGTCGAGCTTTGTATCTCTGGAGAGAACAGTTAGCATGGAATTTATGGTGAGAGAGCCATAAGCATCAACTAATATGAGCCTTGTTTGGTCTGGGAACCAGTTCCCATGTGTCATTATCACACAAGGCCATGTACTTGTCGTTCATAGCCTTATTCCAGTATGGGTCGAGAACGGCAAGGTGAAAGTTTTTCGGGATGAGAGAAACAATAGTGATGTAAAGGTATATGTTGAATTGGTTTGGTGATTCTAGTATGAATCTAGTTGTCATGTGGTGAGGTGGGATTGGGGGTGGATTCGGGTTATGATCTTGGTTATCATAAATAGTGGAGATTTGAGGGGTGCTGGAGGTGGGGGTATCGGAGAAGGAGAGGTGGTGTTTTGGTGTGTTGGTGGCGAGGAAGTGGTGGGGATGGAGCAGTGGAGAAATGTTCATATGTGGATAGAAGAATCATGTAACACCCAGAATCAGAAAGACCAAGAAAAGAAAGGAAAGGCTCTAAGTGAAGAGTCAACTCGTCGAGTCCAGGGAGGAACTCGACAAGTCGGAGCGGGATTCGGGGAATAGAGTAAGTGACCGACTCAATGATTCGGCTAATGGACTCGGCGAGTCTCGTCTTGACGAGAAAAACCCTAATCCCGGGGGTTGTGTCCTATTTAAAGAACATTACATCCCTTCCCCAGCCTCTTTGCTACCCTTTTGAGATCCAGAAACCATAAATCGTGAGTGAGAGTCCTTGGAAGCAATTTGGAGCTTAGATAAGTGGTTTTTGTGAAGAGATCTTGAAGATTAAGAAGCTTGGATCAAGGGGGTTTACAGAGATTTGGATTATTCTTCAGTAGGAGGTAATCTTGGAGGTAATAAGTAGTTACCTTCACCCTTTTTGCATCTAGATCTATTATTGAATGTGATTTGGGGCTATTTTGGCAAGATTGAGGTATATTTTGGGTTTGGGGCTTAGATATGAGGTTGCTACTTCAGATCTAGGGTTGTGATGGTCCAGAATGTCTTAAAGCAGCCATCAATGAGTCATTAGTGAAGCCCATTTGTATTAAACCCTAGCCCTAGAGTGTTTTGGGCCTATATCTCCTTGTTTTCATGTAAAGTTTGCTACTTTATGTGAGGGTTCGACTGTAGAAGAGTGGATCTATGGATTGGAGCCCCTGTATGGCTCGAAAAGCCACTGTATGGATTGAGAACTGGAGAGACTCGGTGAGTCACATGGGTGTACTTGAAGAGTTGTATGAACATGTGCATAGACTCGACGAGTTGGAAGAACAAGTC